ATAACGGCCCTGCCTAGCTTGGAAAGGTGAGCAATGTCGTTCATGGTCTTTATCTACTGTTGCCAGCTCAGGTTGCATCTTTCCGGTAACAGATTCTAGATTTTGCGTTTCGTTTTACAGTGTGAGAATAATATACCTTTTTGATCCTTGTCCTTGTCGGAATGTTTCCATTCATCTAATTAAGCATTTTATACATCTTGCTGGAACAAAAAAAATCCTCTTTTTCGGAAATTTGTAAAAATCAGACCACCTTTCGATTGTTTGAAGCGATATTACAGAGCAGAACACCCCCCGAACATAAAGAGCATGTCACACCTCCTCGGAGCAAATAAAAGTTAAACATTTTATTTACTTGGTTACAGGAATAAAGCATGGGAATTTTATAATTAAAAATATTGAAACAACCCTTCCATTGATTCCATGAAAGGTACCATTATACTATCCTGTTTTTAGGTGCATTTATTCTGAGTTGTGTACTATCAGAGTTCTCTTGCTAGCGCTGAAATCTGGCCAGACAGTTTCAAACATACAACAGACAATTATACTACAGACTTCAACATAAGTTAAGGACCACCTTGAAAGGAAGCCTTTATTTTTTTAAAATCCGAAAAAGACAGCAAGGACTTTTTCAAAACTTTTTGCTTTGAAAGTGTTAATGGATTACCAATGCGTATTGACAAGCTTCCTAAAGAGGCAAAACTACCACATGCAGCACGGAAATCCTCGGGGAATCTAAGCTAAATTTGCTGTTTTTCATCGGCTAGTGTGCAACACCATGGACATTCCTCCTTTAAAATTTCTGGTGCACGTTATAAACGGACGTACCGTCTCGAACTGTGCTCACTTTGGTGGCAATATAAGCATCCGTTTGCGCAAAACCCAGTATCGCATCAATATGCCACAGAGACGAAAGCTGAGAGACTTTGATCGCGCCAGAACTATGGCATGGCTGCAGGATGGAGTTGGAGCTCTAGCAGTTGCCAGAAGGCTTGCAGTTCACACTCTGTCATGGTCCGCTTTAGGCTGCGCAATCAAGCCACTGGATCAGTCCAAGAACGCCCACGTGCAGGTCGACCCAAGAAGGCCACTCAGGGGGTTTGCAAGTGGTCCTTAACTTATGTTGAAGTCTGTACGTTAATACGGCATATATAGCATTTTAAGGTGACCACGAAGACCACAGACATCTACACGCGCGCATAAGAAATAAATTGACCAGCACTGAGAAAATTTAGTTTTTTTTTCACTTCAGTATCCAAATCGAAGATTTCTGTATCTGCATCTGTAGTGCAATGATTTCGTGCTTCCTCGTCGGACGTAAAAGACCTGAGTTCAATTCCTATTTAAGGAAGATTTTTATCCAGTATCTCCGTTTTCGGTTAGAACATTGTATCCTTCTCAGTCGGGTTGGCCCTGGCAGACAAGTTCGAAACCCACTTCATAAAAGATCTAAATTGTGTCGATGGGGGTGGGGGGGGGGGGAA